TACAAAGAATTCTTTAGGCTGCGCAGATTTTATTTTTTCTCCCTGTATCATTGAATATAATCTGCTGTTCATGAAGGTCACTATGTTTGTTGTGGTCATTATACACGAGACACGTTTTGTTTTTCTGACAGCAATTAGAGTGACATATCGTACCACAAAGTTTACATCATATAAAGAAATTCTTTCAGACTACTTAAAATAAATAGGGTTGTTATTGTGTATACAAATACTTTCAGAATACCTAATATTGTGGTTTTACTTTCTCGCACGACAGTGAATGTCCTGGCATCCATTCCTGTGTGTGATGTCACTGATGTAAATGGACAAGTTCTACTATAGGGATTTATGTTTATCTAGTTTACATTACTCACGACGATTTTGGGACAGATAGGAACTTGTGAGAAATGTAAGACAGGATGTACCCACGATATTGCAAACGACTCTGAGTCATGTTATTCAAGGTCTCTAACAAGCGGTTAATATTACCTTGTGAATCCCAGATAATATAGTCTACACGTAGCAACAGAGCTCAGTCTTCTTTATCAGTGACTTCATTGATTTGTTCCGCGTTTTGTTTAAGCTGCTCTTAACTTTCTTCCAACCTAATTCTACATAGCAAAACATTGCTTGTCTGGACAGTTGGAGGTTGGGCATTGCTGGCACATAGTACAAATATCTCAACTAATGAAGACACAATACTTCATCAATTGATTGGCCATCCTTAATTATTACACTTTTCCAAACACTGCGATGCCTACTCGGCGGCCCTAGGTTATCAAATGTGAGTAGATTGGTGGAAAATTTGTAGCTGGTTGACCGATCATGTTATATATTCGTATTTTAGAGAACGAGAACACCGGTGAGAGCAACCGAACTGTATTTAACGAAAATTACAGAGTTACTCAGTAAAATCGGAAAACCGTATCGTAAATCGTTTATTTGCAAAATATCAGTTCATCATATCAAAATGGACTGTTCCTGTTGCAAAACATCAATCCATTGTCACTATTCATGCGTTTCATACAAATTCCATTGTGTTCTAACTCTTCCTTTCTTGATCTTCCCCCTCCTCTTCTGCTGCCAGACATTACGTTAACACTCACGTCATATACTACTTATAAGTAGCTCGCACCACAGTATTACTATTGTTGTGAATCGTGATCACCAAATGTTATAGCTAAGAATAATGTTGAGCTTGCAGTCTTAATGTTTCTAGTTAACTATCCATTACACTGTTTATACCGAGAACATGCACAATTCTTACCATGCCAGTTGAGAAAGTGATAGGCTTGTCCAATGAAGACATACTGACCCTCAGTTATACGTTTCCCAACAAATTCTTAAATCATAGAATTCTTAAACCAACATCTACAATCACTTATAAACCACATTCCTCACACGATAATATCACACCGGGTGGAAACAGATAAAAATAATCTAAACACACACAGTTAATATGGATTACTTAATTTGGTGTACGAAATATGTTAGTTATACTGGACAAAGTGTGCAGTAGGTCAGTCAGTCAGTCAGCTACAACGTAGCATGTCGTACGTACGTACATACATCGGTTCAGGTAGCCATATCACATTAGCACAGAGAGGTTGAATTCTCAATTCAAATACCATAGCAGAACAACGGTACTTATCAATGAAATCAACTTGAAAAGAGAAATATATAAGGGAAATCAACCTGAAAAGAGAAATATATAAGTGATGAGGAATTCAGATTACAATTTCAGAGAAGACAAAGAATGAATGCATCTACGCCATGACAGACGATATTCAGTCATGTTACATATTCACTAACAACTGGACTGAGTCACTTTATTAGATATAGACTATCTGGTTGTAGTCCGCTATTCAATAGTAATCCATGGTTAAAAGCAGTTTGCACTGAATTGATGCAAACAATATCCACCTAATGTCATCGATTTATCTAGTTATAGCAGGAAAATCCAGCAATCTTCAACTGATAACGTGGAGAATTTAGAACGCTTAGATTCGGTTTCATGTGATTTACAGAACATGAGAAATTCCAGATTAGAACAAGAAAACGCGTTACTTTTTACACATTTGAAATCATCAATCAATCGTTGTTAGACCACCATTAGAAACCTGGAATCACTGGATGGCCGTTTCGTCCTGGTTTGGGACTCACCATTTGCAGTGCGCATCCACGACTCCTTCTACCCGCAGGATTCAAACCCGGGACCTTCGGCATTGTAGGCGAACGCCTTACCATCGGACCACTGGGCCGGCATCCAACGGTGTTAATGTCTAACTCTGATTGATCTAGGGATTTTGCGCGACCTCACCCATTTATTTGTCTTTGGTAGTAGTTACTGCCTACACATGACAGGGTTGAACTCCACTGGTCACGTCTTCTCAACTAGAACTCCGAGAATTTCCTCACGAAGCTAGTCACTAGTGAGCACTGTTACGATATTTGAGGGCAGAGTTTTGGAGGTTTGCGTTTTTACACATTTCCTTTTACCGATTTTCCGGTTGTTAGCACTTTGTGAGTTTTGCAAGTTATGTTTACGTTGAAGACGTTGCACAAATTGACATCGCTCAATTCTTGACATACAACGAAAGAGTTGTAAATCGAAACATTTTGTTTGCTATTCAAATAAACATTCATATAGTGAGAATGTCCATTGTTTGTCGGAACAGATTTCAAATACTGAACATTTTCCACCCAAGGCATTCTAAGTTGCCGCAAATGTGTTTTTATTGTTTTCAAACAAACTCAGTACACACAATATATCAACAGTGAAGTAATGCTCATTACTTGATTCTATTTATTTGACAGATCAAATGAAAACGTGGTTAGGTTGAATATGTCAATATACATAAATCACACTTTTGATTTTATTCCCAGATATGACGTTAAAGTGTTCAGATTATGTGAAACCAATCAACAAACACGTACATTTTTGTTTACCCAATTAAACTATAGTTACAAGACCAATCGCTTTTTATCTTATTATTTTCTTGAACAACATCGCTTCTCGCAAAATGGTGGTTATTCTCATGACTATAGGTGCGATAAATGTGCTAGTCTCCTTCAGCGTTATGTGAGTTTCTACAATCACACAAGTAGTTTTAACTGTGCACACATATGTAGATATCGTAGTATCTACACTTTAGAACCAGTTAATGTCATAGTTTATCAGTATTACATTGACAGCTATCAAACGGCATCTTTTTGAGGAAACACATGGCTCTGACGCTATTTTTCAATAATCAAAATTATTAGCCAAACGTTTATCTCACAGCTTATATAAAAGATTTATAATCCATTAGCTTTTCCTGAGTATAGACCATCAATTTTCATATGATACTAGTTTATATCACATGATCATGATGAATATTACATAACTCAGTTGAAATAAAGACCGTAAGTTTGGAATCGATTCCTTATAAAGATTTACCATAAAGATGCCTTAACTCAAGTTGACTGACTAAAATATAACATCATTACGATGAATAAAAAAAGAATGCAACTAAGAATATCATCACTGATGAGAAACAAACCTAATTTAAAGAATATGATTTGGATAAAAGCAGTAAATTTTGAGAATAAATGAACCAAACATCAGATGACAATGGAACTCAAGATTGAGTGGAAAGTTGGAACACGAATGCAAATCTACAAGTCATATCTACTGGGTCTAACTGAAAGCTTTCATCTGTCTGTAACACTCAACTCAGTGAGAAACCGTTTTAAAAGATTGCATTTCCTCTTGTCTTACTAACTACTACCCACCATTAATTCTACTTCAACACCAACCGCAGCTATGAATCGATGTCGATACGCAGTGATCGGTAAATGTTTTAGTAAATTTAACATAATGTAGCACTTCAAACTGAGACAGTTAATCGTTACGACTTATATTGATAATAACAAATGATTGAATGAATGAACTGCTTTTCAGATGTGATCTCTTTTTCATAATGCATTTCATACAAGAGAAAAATAAACAATCTGAAATTTTTTATCAACACATTTTATTTAGCACAAATATAAACATATATATAATAAACGTTTGCCAAAATAATTGTAGTCGGTTTATTTCGGAGGAGCATCTCCACCACCAAACACAGAGGTCCAATGTTGTAGAGGCCATTTTATGTACCTGCCAGAATTCATGTAGTTCTTGATTTGTGGTAAATCCTGAAAGACAACAAGGAAAATTAATAAACGAGAATTTGTCGAATTAAACAAGAACCAAGTGTGCGTTGTCATTGACTTACTTCTATACGGTGTTTGAAACTAACTAATTTTGGAAATTCATCCAAGCATTTGGGATCCATGTATAAGAGCACATCAAGAGTGTCGTATAACAGGAAGTCAGGATACGTTATCTGTAAAGACAGATGGATAACAGAGGAATTAGAAAAGCAAGCGAATATATAAATTCCATCTTTGGTTGTTAGATACTGAATCATTCTAATGTGTACATGTTTTCTAAGACCGGAAACGGACACATTCTATGGACACAAACAATATATCCGTGCAAGTTTCTTAGCAAGCTACAGTTTTTCTACAGAAGAACACATATAAGCGAATAATATTGTTGTTTCGTCATCAGGCTTTACTCTTTCTAATAAACATGAATATTTATATGAAAATGCCAAAGCAAACAAGGTATTTTGAGTCAATAATCACACTGAGATGAAATAGATTATGTCACTACACATAATAGGTAAATGTACAAGTTGATAGTAGGAAGACAGATGTACTGATACTAGTAAGAACATAAAATACGATAACAAACGTTTTTATCAATAGCAGGTCGTACGTGTATATACATACTTACAATAATCATTACACAACATTGAAACAACACTATTTCCATAGCTAAACCTATGAGATTTTGAATGTTAATATATCTACAAACATCTGATCTAAGTGCATCAATGTGCTATTGACACTAGACAGATGCAGTCAAGTCAACAAATCACAAGCCAGGTGGATAAAATTCAGCAGCTTACTTTGTCACCATTCAAGTACATCTTGTCAGACAAACGATCTTCAAACATTTTCAGCATTGATGGAAGTTTGTTGAGAAAGTCAATTTTGAGGGTTTCCTTCAAATGAATTAAGTATAAGTTAAACTTACATATTGCTTACTATATGCAGTTCTTGAAGCACTGACTCTAATATCCATAACTGCTCCTTCAAACATAGAAATTTCCGCACGTTCTTTTGGACAGCCACCCACTAAAAATATACATCATGCTATTTCGTCTTACACATATTGTGCTTATCAGCAATATAACGTATGATAGCGTTAGACTGTGTCAACTTAAAGTCACCATCAATATAATATGGAAGCTGGATGAATAACGCATTACAGAAAAAGTTGTATTACGTTTGGAAACTCAAGACCTAATTTGAATTTCTCAGCTTTCCACACATCAGCCTCATCACGATCATACAAACGCTCCTCGTATTTTTCTCCAACATATTCTAAAAGAAGGCGAATCGGTTGCGCAAACTAAAAGGCAGTAAAACATTTTTAGATTGTATGCAAATATATAAGATACAGTAGATAACTATTACCGTTGATCAAATACAGGTTAAGTAGGTGATTGGAAACGTGGTATCATTATAGGTTCGCTCACTGTCAAGAGACTCACATACGTTGTATGAACCTAATCAATTTCTTAATGCTCAAAAATCTGAATCTATGTAATATTTCGTTGCAACTGGTTTCTGTAATCAAATGTTCGTTTGTCTTTAGATTGTCTGCAGCAAGTCACTAGATTGTCTTATAACTATGACATCTTTATGAAATTTCAGATAATTTTAAAATCAGTACTCACGCCTCTGATTTTCCAGTAACCAAGTTTGGGAGTCATGGCTAACGTATGACGGGTTTCAAAATCGTTACATCTTGTTATAGTCGTCCTGAAGGTTAGGTGTTTGTTATGGAATGTCTAGTATCCAATATCCAATATACAATATCTTTTGCACGAGCAATTATTAACAAGTTTATTTCTTTGCTCTCGATTCTTTTACTATTTCTGCGGTTCCGAGAATTACTCATTTGCTTATTCTCCAGATTTTCCATTACCTTCTATAGGACTGTCAGTAATGCTACTAGTCTGTGACAGCCACTACGTTTTCATCATCCTCCTTTAAAAATTGGAAATAGTGGCTCTTTTCCAATTAGCTAAGAGTTGGCGTGGTTACATAGGATGCCCAAACAAGTCACATATCGGTGAACTGTGACTTTGCAAATTGTTTCAGTGTTATAGGTTTAACATTTTCACATCCTGGTAACTCCCTGAGATCAAAGATTTTAGTTTAGTTAGTAATAAGTCAGAAGTATGTCGGACATCGCGCAGACCGTCAGCTGGTATTAGGTTCGAGTAGTACCCTAAACGTGTAGGTACGAGTTGTAACTAGTTGGTGAAGTTGGTGTTAAATATCACAGGCATCTCTGTGTTGGTGAGGTTGTAGTGGTTTACTTTTACGAAGAAAGCACGGTTGCTGAAATATAAACATTTTTTATTGTACTTAATTCTGACAATAACTGTTATTTTGTATACCTCTTTTTATCTCTACAAAAGATAATCTCTCGCGAGCCAAGCGTTTCTTTGATTTTCGGCCTTCTCTTGTCGCTCGTTGTTAGCCGCTCGAGTACCCTAGTCTCGTGATTACTTCGATATCAGAAGGCTAGCACCATATATACTTTTTCCTCTAACATCGTATTTTATCGGATTATTAGGGTGATGGGATTAACATTTGTTATCAAAGGAAGTGTTGTGTTGATTTGGTGCTACAACAAAGTCCTCGTCATTCGGATCTTTGAGAGCCCTATCACTCTGGTTCGTCGGGTTTCTTCTAGTAATGAACGTGAACAGATATTTAGTGTTTGCTTGTATTTTGGCAGCTAGCTTCTTGTATAACTGCCTCCTCACATTTCGAAATTTAGCACTGCATTTGTTTGTCAATGCAAAGTAAACTGCTTTTAACGTCCTTGAGAGAGACCTTCCACTTGTGCAGGGCTCGTTTTCACGTGTAGCATCCCTTTTGGAGCCTCACTTGACTGACGTTCCTCTCTTTCCAGGTCTCTGGTGTGCCTGAGTTACGTTACCTAGGACAGCACTGTGGATGATGTCTCTCACTGTTTACTAGTGTACACTAGCGCCACTAGGTGGACTAAGGAATGGAAGTCCTCAAACCTAGATTATCTGTTAACGAACGACCAGCTCCTGGTTGAGGATGTTAACATCCGCGCTCCAATAGGTAGTAGTGACCACGGCACAGTCCTGTTTAACATGGTCACAAACGAAACGCTGACACCGGACGATAACGAGCCTTACCTTTGCTACTGCACACGCATGAGAGAGGTGCTCCTACATGCCACATGGCCACTGGAGTGGTGGAGGCTGACAGTAGATGATCACTGGCAAGCAGTGAGAGATATCATCCAAAACGCTGTCGTAGACAACGTACCTCAATCACACCCAAAACGCCAGAACAGAAGAACCTGGGTTAGGCGCTGCACGGAACGCTTGCTACAGGCGAAGAGGAAAGCCTGACACAAGTGGAAGATCTCATTGAAGGATTCCGATCGCAGTTCTTACTTGGCATTCAGAAACAGATGCAATACCAAAGTTCGAAGCGACAGGAGACAATTCCAGACGAAATTAGCCGCCAGAATAGAGGCAAACCCGAAACATCTGTTTAGGTTCATGTCCAAAAGAAAACCTACTAATCAAGGGTTGTGCCCCCTAAAAGGGCCTAACGGAGAAGACCTCACCAACCTAGAGATGGCCGAGATCTTCAACACCCACTTTTCTGATCAATTAAACCAGGCGCCTACATGTTCAGAGTATTACGCCAACCCAATGCCAGCTGACGGCTTAGGGAACATCCGTATCACTCCTGACCTAGTATTGAGGAAACTGAAAGCCTTACGCCCAGGTAAGTCACCAGGTTGTGAGAAAATCCGCCCTATAGTCTTGCAACAGTGCGCTGAATCCTTCTGCTCACCATTATGCAACCTGTTCAGGCATTCACTGTAGTCACACCAACTCCCAGATGAATGGAAATAAGCGACTCTCTCTCCAATCTTCAAAGCAGGAGATAGAAACGACCCAGACTCTTACAGACCAGTCGCACTACTACCTATATTATCAAAGGTTATGGAAGGGCTAGTGGACGAACAAATGAGGGAGTACATGGATAAGAATAAAATACTCAATGAAGCTCAACACGGGTTTCGGAAAGGCAGGTCGTGTGCTTCTAATCTTCTCATCGCATGGGACAGTTGGACATCCTACTTGGACCGTAAAATACCAGTGCACGTAGTATTTCTCGACTTCGCAAAAGCCTTTGACACAGTGCCCCACGCACGCCTAATCGAAAAGGTTGTGGAAATGGGCTTCACTGAACCACTCGTATCTTGGCTCAGAAACTACCTTGAGAATAGAAAGTTTCGCACCAATGTAAACAGGGTGCACGCGAGTTGGAGAGTATCCACTTCAGGAGTTTCACAGGGGACCATCCTAGGCCCACTCCTCTTCCTGATATTCATTAACGACCTGCTAAGCTTAGTTAGCTCACCGGCACTGATCTACGCAGACGATGCGAAGATCTGGAGGTCCATTAGAAGCGAAGAGGATTCGACTGAGCTTCAAAAGGACCTTACATCCATTGAGAAATGGGCAGTGAAAAACGGTTTAAAACTAAACCAACCGAAGTGCCACGTCATGCATCTCCTGCCTCATATGACGCAAACCACCTACACTCTCAATGGAAGTCCGCTCCCTAATGTCTCCTCAGAGCGCGATCTTGGTTTAATAACCACAGAAAGCCTCCACACGAGTCCGAACTATGTAGGGGATGCAGCCAAGGCAAATGCGACTCTTCACTTTATGCGAAGACAGCTTGGTGCTATAACTCCGAAATTATTTTTAACCCTGTTTAAGACGTATGCGCGCCCACACTTGGAGGTTCACAACGTCATCGCACCCCCTCTGCTTAAAAGAGACATTAATATCTTGGATCGAGTGCAGAGACGAGCAACCAAATGGGTGATAGGGTTGAAAAATAAACCGTACGACGATAGACTCCAGCTCTTGGGATTATTCTCACTGAGCTACAGGAGAATCAGAGGTGACCTGATTATGGCGTACACCATATTAAACACGCCAAACCATCCCAATGTGAGCATCTTACCGATGCATCACCACCACTACCCTCGAGGCAATCCTCGAAAGATTGCACATCAAAGAGCAAATACTCAGATTCGTGCACGCTTTTTCTCATTGTGAGTCGTCGCAACTTGGAATGCTCTCCCAGCCGAGGTAGTTACAGCCCCCTCAGTGGACTGCTTTAAGAAGAGACTTGATAATCACGTACTCACATACGGACTATCATCTCCCTCTTGGACAAGCTGTGCCTGATGCATATCTTGAGACCTGCTAGTTGTTACCATTGCTATCTCCTCAGATCACTCAATTAATCTATCTCGTCTATTCCTCTCCCTTGCTTACACTTCGGTCCCCCCTCACAATCTTCACTACCAATTAATAAATTAAATTCATCTATATATTACTCAGTTCTGAAATTTTATTCATATTATCATTTTAATTTACCCTTATTCAAATCCCGAAACACACAAACTCACAACAAACTGCCAACTGACTAGAATTAGACAGTCGAGTGGCTAGACCTCCATCCATTGGACATTACCGAACACCTGGAACCGTACCGAAAGAACAAGAATCGAGTGCGAAGAAATCAAATTGGTTTACACTAGCTCGTGAAAAAGATATTGGATATTAGATCTAGTGTTAGCGTCCACCATTCCTGTGGCCATAAGGCATGTAGAAGATTCTCTCTCATGCGCGTGTAATTTTCCCTATTGTAGCAAAGGTATAGGTCGTTTTACAAATGGAGTGTTGAGAACTTCAGCTAAAATTATTCAATGAAACTCAAGGAGTGGCAGTTGCAGTATTGTCTCAATAAGTTTACCTATCTGGACCTTAGTACTTGTGAGGCCGTAAGTCGCTTCAATCAACTCGTGCACCTCTTCAGCAACAACGGCTGTCGAATATTCGAACAGGATATTCAAACTGAGTTTGCCAGCTCTGTGAGAACTGGCTTTCTTAGGGTTTTGCTTGTGTAGTGCATTCCATCTGCGAGAATATGATTAGGTTGTTGAATATGTTAACGCCTGTTAGTATGCTCATATTTCGTTCTCCGTGTTGTTGTCTCACAGGTACAGGCCAGCTCAAGCAACATTTATTGTGACTAATGGGGTCGTTGTACATGATGTACCAGGCCTGAAGCGCCTCACTCTGGTCTCCCAGATGTCTGAATTCGCAGCCATCAGACGCGGAGATTTAGTATTCTTGGGGTACGACGGTCGAGGCAGCCGAGAATCGCTCATTGTTATAGTAATGTGATAGTCAACGCCAATGTTGAATGTCAAGTGTGAAATTCATCTAAGCTAGCAGTACCTCCTCGGGTATACCGTGAACTACCAAACTGGTCCTATAGTGTGGGCCTTATGAGGTCCCCGTTGCAGCTCGTACTGACCACAGTTTGTGGACTAGGATAAATGAACAAAAAACGGTGAGGGATTTGTAAGGCATAGTGCTTGTGCTACAATCTGATCACAGATGGAGAACACTATTCACGCATGAAGGAATACACAGATTTCACTGAATCACACTATGAAGAACTAAATCGACCTTATCTGCACCAATAAAATGTTCAGAAGGATGATGAAGGATGTGCGAACCAAGTGGCGAGTTGTTGTGACGGCAGAAAAGCGATCTCAGGAAGTGTGAGATCGACCGTTACATTACTATTCTCCCAGTACCAGGGAGTCTTCAACGGAATGTTTTAAAACAGAATGAGAGGCTCTGTAGAGGCTCACCTTTATAAGCGACACGCTAGATTCCATT